ATTCCTGCTAGTTATGCCTACACTGCATATCTAATCTTTCTCACAGCACGCAGGCCACTAGTCAGAATATTTAGTTTATGCTAGAATTAATTTAGTAGCACAAGTAGTAACACAAGTGCTTACACGGAATATAGCATGATCAAGAACTTGTTCTTGCAAGATGAGTTCCCATTTCAGGGAACATGGCTAGTGCTTCCACCTGCATAACGCAGTCCAGATCAGGCTCTGTACAAGTGTTTAGGAAGATTTCTTCCTTTCAAGACATTCTTAAAAATGAATCTGCAATGTCCTTGTTAAACAGCTCATCAAAATGCAGAGACCACACATATTGTGATACTATTAGGCTGAATTAGGCTTACGTGATAATCTCAGTAATGTAGTAAGAACTGTTCCACAAAGTGTGGTAGCCCCAACATACAACAATGTAACAAAAGATGAACCAACTCAATTATTTTTTTTTTTAATTTGATATCTTAAAGAAAAAACAAAGACAAATTCAGACTAACAAAATCACAAGGATATCATGGGAATATTTGACAGTAATGACGATTACATAATAATATTTGGGAAGCATCAAATTCAATCTATGTCTGGATAAGACAGAACATGTTAAGGCACTACCAATACAGAAATAACATTATGTAATTTTGTTCTCAGAATCTTCTTGCAACAGCAGTCACAAAAATCCCTGTACAGTCAAATTCCAAAGTAAAACATATGCACCAAATATTTAAATTAGATTTTTTCATAGTTCTTTATTTCTAGATCACTCCAATGTACACAAAACTTAAAATATTTTTTAAATTTTAAAACTATCATCTCAACCTATATACAGGCTGTTTGTAATACTAAACACATTAAAAATACTGCCGTTAACAAAAATATAGCAGTGTATATAGCTACAAGAGTATTCAGGGTAAGTGGGATGAGGAATTAGGTGTTTTATTTCATGGAAGATCTAGCCTTGAGGTGACTTATTTTTGCAGGGGAATGCAACCACTGCATTTACTATAGTTTTTTATCAGAAGAAGAGTCTTCCATGTCTTATTAACTTCATTATAGCAGGTTTTTTTCTCCCTGGAGAGATGGGTCTTAATCAACTTTCCATTTATAGCCAAATGTTGAGATTCATGCTAAGGCAAAAAAAACAAACCAAACCAAACAAAAACCCAAAACCAATGGGCCTGACCCCACTATTCTCTCCACACACAAATTGACAGAATGCAGTGATCCTTTTGAAATGTTGCCACATTTATTGCATCTAGACTCAATGACCATACCTGACTCAATGACCATTTTTCACCCTGTTCACAAGGTCTCACTTCGGACTTTGCTTTCTCCATAATCAACTCCCTCCTTCTCTGAAATTCTAGTTCCTCTTCAGCATTTTCTCTCTGTAAGATAAATAGCTCTTTAAACTGTATATCACTGGAAATAGAACTATATCCTTTTTCACATAACATCACCTCAGAAGTATTTCTTACAAATACCAAGATGAAAAGCAAACAAAGAAGTAAGCAGATACTATATACTTGTAGTTCCAGCGCTAACAGGTAGACAACATAAATCTGAACAAAACAATTCATAAAGAACACCTGTTCACCAATCAGGATACAGATCAAATAATGAGCAGTATATATCACAGTGTAAAACTCCAAATCATACTTTATATACTCTTTTTAACTACAGTGACAGCGGTCCGGGAAAACACAAATTTTTAGTTTACGAAATATGTTGGGGTTACCTTCAATGAATGTACTGTTTTCCTGCACCAGAAGAGGGAGATAGTGGAGTGGGATGGCAGACAAGTACGCATAGCTGAGCAATGAACCGGCTTACATTGACAGTTGCACACAAGGAGATTTAAAAAACCGCTAAGATAAAAAAGCAACTGATAAACCCAGAAAAATGTTATACATACACCTATAAAAATAAAAATAATTCCATAAAACCGTTAAAGAAGAATTAGTTTTGTCCTCCAGCCTACTAAACTTTTCCCTCCCCTACTTGGTAGATTAGTAATTGTTAAAATTGTTGGCTTATTTCCTATCTTCCCCCCCAATATTTTGTTATAATACACTCATTAACGTACCTGCCCGAGGGAAGACATCTCCATCTGCATTTGACCGCTATGTATAAAGATAAACATATGCAAATATGTAATTCATTGTGTAGAAAATTTAATATGATGAATCTAACAAACGCATTTTATTCATTTCTTAAAATAAAAATTAAAAAAAAAAAGTAGATAAACACACTTTACTGTAGATTCCTGAAATTCTAAAGCTGTTGCTGGTTCCATGGGATACAGATTCACATCACTGCTCTCTGAAATATCCATGCTTAATCTGCAAGGTTTGAAATAGAAACATTGCACTGGGGTATAGCTTTGGTAACCACTTTGTTTACTACTTAATTTCAAACAAATGGATATATAAAATACTTTCATAGTCACAGTTTTAACGTGCTTGGTGTTATCTCTCAAGAATTTTTTGAAATGCCTCCTGATGCTTCACTGTCACCAGTTGAATCAAAGCAACATTAATGCTTTCATCTGCAAAATGTCACCCTGAGCAATGGCTTGTACCAAAACAAAAGGACCTGTTTATTGCCAACAATGATGCCATTATCTAGAAGACTGTAGATTTCTATATCCAACCTTTAGCACCCTGTATTCAAATAGAAGCCGCAGCCCTGGTTAGATATTCAAATTTAATTATCGTGGATGAAAATAAAGCAGTGAAACAACAAATTCACAACAGACAATGACCTGAAAGAAAGTAGTGAATACAGGAAAGGGAATATAGTAAAGGGAATATTGGAATCTGAAGCAAACATCTGAAAATACTGAAAGAGGTTGAGTCTGAAATATTTTTGCTTTCCAGAAGTGAATGCTGTTTATATGCACATAGGATATGCAGACTTGAAAAAAAAAAAAAAAAAAAAAAAAAAAAATCACATGAAAGCTTTTGTGCATCTTAAACTAAGGAGCAATGGAAGCATTTAATTCCTTTGTGGGTCTGGATAAAGACACAAAAATTATTTAGTATGAAAACCAAAATTTTATCACACTACTTTATACAATGCAAGTATACAACAAACTGCCATGTAATCCAGTGATTATAAAGGAAATGATAAGGAAACTGTGGCCCAGAGGACTGGAAATCTACAGAATCATTTGGCAAGTATTAGACACCCAGGGGTATATTGCTGGGTAAGTCTGGATGTTAACATACAGGAGACATAAATTCAAAAGCTTGCACACTGCTCAGTAAATTAAATACTCATATTTTAAGGTTAGAAAAAGAAACTACAGCCCAGAACTACATAAAAAAACCCCAAAAAAACTGTAGAACAATGCAGACATGCATGAAAAGATGAGTCTTTTTTAAAAGCCACATTTTGAATTTACTACAGTGTTATTAATGAAAGCATATCTGAATAGGCATGAAAAAAGAGATCAATTTTCTGTGGTTTATTGCCCTTTAAAATTTAAAAAGAAAAACTAAATAAGTAGAAAATATTGGGGCAATATCTGACAAAAGCAATACAACAAAATTTATAAGGTTCACAAATAATAAGCCTCATATGAGGTGCAGAAGCAATGGAATATTATCCCACAGAAACCCCAGGAACTAAAAATCTTTCCTAATTTGTCTGACTTTCATTAAGAAAAAGTACTTGCAGATTCCAGTATTTAGCATAAGATTCAAGAGTTCAAGTATTCTTTATATGATTCAAAATAAAGCCAGATAATTGTTTCTCTAGAAATACCAACAGGAGTGAATTTCTGTCCTTGAAAGTACAAAAGTCTGGTAGGTGGTAAAGTGGTATCAAAATAGGCATTTAAACTAAAGAACAGTGTAGTCACAAGATGATCCAGACAAAGGAGGAAGGAGAAACAAGGATACGTAAGGCTGGAAGTTGCAAGGAGGTTTTTAGTCTTTATAGAAATGAAGCTGTAAACCAGCTACCTCAGAGAAGTAATGAAGAAAAAAGTTTTGAAATTAACTTAAATCAGTTTCTGAAGGTAATTACACAAAGAAAAGCAACAGCAAGCATCTGGCCAGAACTGCCTACACCACTCTTTTCAGAAAGGCAAGCAATTATTTTCTATTAAATAGTTATTCCTTTATTTATTCACAGATTCAGAGTGATTCCACCTGACTTTAACCACTCAAAACAGGCACCTAAATTATAAAACGTTGCCTTCTGTAGTCAGGAGAAATCTAAATAAATTTCTCTAGCTGCCTCTTCCTCTTTCTCTTCTTGATTTCAGAAGGAGACTACAGAACCTCCACCACTAATTCAGGCACCTGCTTTATGTGCTCCACTGAGCTGGAATGAAGGTGGGCCAAAAGACCTTCTCCATTCCCACGAAATAAACCAAGCATGAATAAGTAGAGGAGAGTGTATAGTCCCTAGAAGAAACATGACAATCCTAGACAAAACTTCAGAAAATCACAGTAGTGTACACGAGATGAATGGGTGAGAGATGTCACTACCTCAAAATTTAAGTTTCTTTCATACCTGAAATTCATTTCAATTTACTGGGAATCTTGCCTAGGTACTCAGAGAGAGAATGCAAGTTTCCTTCTTAACTATCTAAATGCCTCCTGAAAAACATTGGTATGCTAACAAAGCACTTCATAACTCCAGAGAACTTTCAGTTATCAGTAAAAGAACTCTAAACGAATTCACAAAAATTTTAAATACATTACATTAACACATCAGCTATTGTAAGCATACCTGTTGGGATCTTGTAATAAATCTACTGCTTCTCTTAGTTGTTCTATCATTGCTATATCAATAGTTTGTTCTTCTGATAAATTTATTCTATAACAGAAAACAAAAGCATTCAAAATAGAGGTACAACATCAATTATCAAGGGTAGCCTGAATTTCACTCTGTATCTTTTGACTGGCGTGCAAACAATATAGAGGGGAAAAACAGCCTCTGCGCACACCAGTATGTGCCGAATTTATGGAAAGCTTCTTCTGAAAAACTCCCCAGCACTTTGTCTTTAACAACCCCCCTGGTCTAATACATATTTACATAAACATGATGAACTATAACATTCAACACTCAGTGAAACACTGACTTCTAAAATTGAAGATTTATTTACCAGTATTTGACTCTTATCTGCACTCATCACGTGTGGTTTTTTTAACTTAAGTAATAAATACAATGATTCTTTCAATGGACCAGCATGCTTTCTTTTGCTTTTCAACATTTGTAATTCTTTTGGGGGTTTAGAAACACAATTTCCTGTTAGTTCTGCCAATAAGGCTCTTGCAGAAAGTACTTATTCTTCCCTTCCTTCAGTTTTCATTTTCAAATCATAGAGGACTCCACTGTTCTGATGAGTGACAACTTCACAGCACGCTGTCATATTAAATCCCCTTTTCTTATTCACAAGCCTCAGCAACTGATGTGCAGTTGCTCTGCTCTTGAATTTATGTCTGTAAATTAATGATTGCCTCAGGGTTAAATTATGACAAAAATAAGACAGACAACTGAGGGATTTTTTTTACAACTAATTTTTTTAAAATGTACAAGTTTTTATAAAATCTTTTTTTACCAAAGGCATTAACAGACCAGAAATCAAAATACCTCCTTAAAAAACTTGCCTCTACATAGGTAAAAATACTACAACATTACTGGTGCATACAAATTACTTATTTTTAACATAACATCCACCATATTCAGCAATAATGTGTAAGACATTGAGCACACACAAACTGCAAAGCTGTGCTTCTAACATTTCTCCAAGTCTATAAAGTTACTGAGAAGGAAATAACAGTTCTTTGCACATAACACAGCTAATTACTTATAGACACATAAAAAATACTTACATTTCGTCTGTGTGCCATTGTGTGTCCTCTTCTATTCTCAACAATTCATCACACTCTGCTGCTCTACTCTGTAAGTAGACAATGATATTGAGAACTGGACTTCGCAATTAAGTAGGCAGATATATTTTGCTTTCAGATTCAGCACTGACCTAATTTATCTAACAGTTTAGGGAGGCTAGTTGAAGCAATTCAACAATTCTGCTCCACTCCCCTCTCTACCTCTTTTAAGATACTGATTACAAGATTTTCTATTCGCTGCTCAGATTTTATTGAGGTCAACAGCCCTTTACCCTCCTTTAACAGCAAAAGAAGTCAAGCAGCATGAGAATTCTTTATTCTATGTCCCAGATTTTATTTATGCCTTCCTGGTGTATGCAAACAATGCTTCAATTAAGCATGACCCTAAGTCTCCTCCTACTTGCTCTCCTACCACATCCAAATATGTTTACAGAGCAAAGAAATTCCAAATACGCAAACAGCAGCAATTATGTACTTCATCCATAATTAACAGCATTCCTACTTGACAATTTTAACAGCCATGTTTGTTCAGGTTTTTTAAACAAATCAAAACAAAAACACATACATGAACTCATATTAATCAGCCACTTACACAGACAGAAGAGCTCGCACCGTCCTAACTAATTATAACTACGAAATGCTACTTTTTCAGAAAACCTGACTCTCTTTAATACTTCCTTTTGATGTTTTGCAATTTTATTTTCTCTTACATCTCAGATAGACAGGAACACTGAAGTAGTTTAGCCTCCAGTGAAGACAGAAGGTCTCTGAATGGATGTGCATTTGTACTAGTAGAGAATGACCAGCAGAAAACAGAGTAGCTTATCCTCTTTTGAGTCATGTGTTTGTGACATCAGTCACATCACCCTGCTATCCAACTCTGCCACACATGTCACTAAAGAGTGTACCAGCTTCTCTACCATTCCCCAAAGATGGCCCATTTTCCAGTGCAAATCCTCAGTCGAATGAATAAAGCCACTATTTTTAATTTTTCTGCTCCTTAGAGGAATGAAGACCATGATTTTTTCCCACAAGAAGAGCACATACAAGATGACAAAAACACAGCACTTATTCTAGAAGGTGATCCTCAGTTTCTGGGCATAACTGTGTAGGCAAGATAAAGCCATATAAATTAGGACTAGCATCTGAAAAACTGCAAAATCCTCCAAGCCTAAGCTCCTCTTTTGCACTGCAAATTGTACTGATTTTATGTATGGTTTGGGTTAACCAGAATTTCAATTTTAGAAGACCCCCTCCACTGTTCCAAAAGACATTCTATTATATGACATAATGTAAACCACAGAACACAACAGACTCAGAAATCCGCACAAAAAGGAAAATGCCCCAAGTTCAAAACTCTCAGAATAAAATGGATATACAACCTGTTCAAGTCATAAGCTGCTGATATCAACCATCATAATGTTAAGAAGATATCAAAATTAAAAGAAATTAAACTGCTCACTCTCCCAACACCCTTATACTGAAATTCAATACAGCAACCTGTGTTTTATGGAACCAGTGTCTTCAACATATTTTAGATGCTATTATCTTATTATTGTAGTGGACATTCCCCAGGGAGTAGTCCTCAAATGGCTGACTACTGAAAATCAGATGACGAAGTGAGAAGAGGAAATATAGAGCATATACATAATATAATTATTGCATAATTATAATAATATATTTTATAATAATAAAATTGTCACAAACTTGCCTTAATGTAACTCATAAATTCAGTAGTAAGAGTATCTGATTCATCAAACTGGTCTTCTATTTCTCTTGACTTATTGACAATCAAGTGAGAAGATACTTGATGGAATTCCACTAACAACAATAAAAAAAGATAGAATGATATCTGGTTCAGCTCAGCATTTATTACTCAACACAATTTAAGTGTACTGAATAACAGAACTCAAAACCGAGCAAAGTTTAAATTCAAAGCATATTAAAAACTTCAAACAAGTTAATATCTTCGCATTTTACCAAATGATGCTAATTCATTTCAAACTTGTAATAACTCAATACCCTGGGATCATACAGTTATAGATCAGAAGCACAACAGGCACTGATTGAGTCAGTTCTGAACTACAAGTGTGTCTTGACAGTACTGGTACAACACAGCTGGACAGCTGCAGAGTGTTATAATACATTCAGATGTGTCAGCCAGTGCCCTGCAGTTTAATGCAACTTCACAGTTGCAATGCTGTAACGAACATTGAGACTCTTAGCAGAACTCGAAATGATTCAGAGCCTTCAGAGCCAATGCTATCCTCCTATTTCCAGGAGTATGAGACAGCAGTAACTTTCTAGTCTGTCTGAAGTAGTGTGATCTTAAAATCTTACCCTCTCCAGTTTGCTAATAAGCACTGTAGGATGTAATGTTCTTACCATCTCACCTAGTATTCTACTAAATTCTTAAGAATATCTCAACTGAAGTTCATTTAATCTAGTAAGTAACACTTGGGAAAGGCTTATTTCCTATTTGTGTGGTTTCCATATGCAACTCACTGACTTCATTCTGCCATTTATCATTAGTATGTGCAGAGTCTGTGGAGAAACATTGTTTACCAGTATACAGATATAATTTAGAAAAATAAGTTACTTGACTAAAATTTTAATAAAATTACACCTTCTCTCAAAATCTGAAGATTTACTTGTTTCCAGAGGTAATGCCAACTTCGATTAATAAGGCTTTATATACACATTAAGTCCAACTACAGAAATTGACTCTGCTTTAGTACATTGCTAATTCAGAACCTGAGTTAGCATTTGATAAGTTATTACACATTGATATTACTGATTGGGAAGCATGGTTTAAACCAACTCTCACTTTTCTTCCCCCAGTCAGAACCAGAACTTAAATCCTGAGACAAGGTGTAATATGTTCATTGGAATTGCTATGGAATATTACTAAGGATCTTGATTCAGTACCATTAAAAATGTTTTAAGTAGCACGCTTTTTTTTTTTCTTTTTTACATGATTGTATATACATGCTCAAAGCCTTTTGGGTGGCAGGCATTTATTATAAAAAATTAAAATGCACAGGGTAGTGAAAATACCTGCTGGTCAACTAGAATATCAGCAAGAAAAATTAATTTAATAAGGTATTTATCCAGTGCAAAATTAAACACTGAAATTTCCAAAGAAAAATTGGAGGGAATAAAACAGATCTAATTTAAAGATAATGTTTGTAGACTCCTGAAAGATTGATGCTAATCGGGCTGTGATTTTTGCAACTGAATTTACAGTCTTATACATGAAATTATCAACAGAATTTCTCTGTATTTATCTTTGACTTTTTTTACATTCCAACCTTTTCTTGAATTATGGTGACTTGAATCTTCCTTTACAACATGATCTTCTTCCACAATGTCTGACATTGGCACATTAAAGCTGATAGTGTCTTCATCAGATGGCTAAGAAGAAATAAAAGAAACACTAGTTTCTGCTCAAACCAAAAAGGATTAAAATGTACATATTAAGAAGAGTGCTCACTAAAAGAGTGGCAAACTAATATGGGAGAGGATACCAGAGCACCTAACATGACAAAATCCTCTTGTAGTAAGCTGTAGTCTTGCTGAATATATCCTTGCAAGAGGCTTGCAAAGCAGAGCAATTCATCTAACCTCGTTTCCCATCTTCCTCACTGCACTAGTTCTCTCTCTGCAGTGATATGGCTGCACTGTGCTGCTGTGTGCTTTCCTGCTACAGCTGAAAATAGAGACTTCTTCTAGACGTCGAAGTCTGCAGACAAACTGAGCCTCGTATCACAGCCCTTTTTTCTTTCCCTCCAAGACTCTTCTCCACTTTGCCATGTGGCTTGTTATTTTAATGCCTAAAGCAAGCAAGATTAAGTCTGCAGGCTAGCTTCTAGTAGAATTATGCCATTCTTCCTACATTTATATGCTCATATTCCACATTGAAAATATTTTTTTAAATCATGAAGTTAAGGTTTGTAATAAAGGACAGAGCAAATCTGCTTTGCTCTTAAAAAACTGTACCCAGATACATATGGGTATTCCTACTTGCCATGACTACCCTGGACTTCACACATTGTATAGATGTGGACCACCACAAATTTCCTCTTTATGAATAAATTGCATATTAACAACTCTACGAATTCACTGCCTGTATTCTGTTTAAAGAGAAAAAGTTCAAAAGGATGTTCAGGTATTTGATAAATCCTTATCAAAATGATGAAGCTTTACAATGAAGTGAACTCACATTGCATAATAACTGTTCTTGTCAATTTTAACATAATTTTAAAAATCAATTTTATTTTAAAATTAAATAAATCAGTATCTCAAACAAACAAACAAACAAAAACGAACCACACTCCAAGTATTCTAAGCACAAGTCAGTAGTTCTTTTAGACCTGAAATAATGACAGTCCAGCTGCTTAAAAAAATGCAGGGGGTAGGGGAGGCGGGAGAGGGGAAACAGACATGCACAGTATAAATTCACTCAGACAACCAAGGTTACAGTGAAATTCCTTCTCTTTCAGACTGTATCTCATGTGACATCTAAGCACTAAATTTGGTTATTCTAGATCAAAGAGTCATGTTTTGTTAATTTTGCAACTATCATTAGAAAACGGTACACTAAAATGTTCTTACACACATTATTACAAGTTCTGAATTACTAAAACAGGCAAGATATTTTTTTCTCAGCAGAGTAACACATACGGCTTTTCAGAAAATATTTTGGAGTGCTGGTGTAAAAAAAGCCACTGGCCAGTCAATTTGGAAACAGAAAATCATTCTTTCAACAGGCTATGTCTCACTTTCAGAGCTTACAGAATTCAGAAATTGATTTTCCAGGTGTTTCCTGCCAGTATACTATGAAATAGAAACCATCCAAAGCAGCCTACGATAATACAAAACTGTTGCTCCTTCCTAGGTGAAATACTGTATCTTACTTCCGTCGTTCACAGTTAAATTTTTTCAGCTAGCAACAGAAGGAAACAGACCCACAAGAATCAAAAATACTTAACATTATTCCAATAATGAATTCGGATGATGTGTTTTCAAAGAATCTTCATATAAATTCTTGCTGGTTCCAATGTATCACTCTCATGGGTAATAAAGCAGGGACACCATTTGGATTTTAACAAGTCCCCTCTTGTTTTAATGAATTTTAAGGAAAAAACAAGGCCAAAGGGAAGCGGAAAATGAACCAAAATGCTACACTCTACCTAAAAATAAGGTACACTACCTTAAAGCAGAATTTGCCTTCAAATTGCAATGATCAACTTTACAGCAACACTACAAGATATCTTTGACTTGAAATGCCTAAGATGACTATAGCTCTGAAGAACTGACCCAGTAATGACCCTACCAACAAGACAGACAGGAACACATCAGTTGTTCATTTCTTCAAGTACTACCTCCTATATGTATGGACGCAAGCTAATCAGCAAGCTTCCTAAAAAATACAGTAACATTCAAACAAGTGAGTCACTTAAGTTCCTGGTTTTAAGCTACGTGTATGCAAACTGACATTGCATTTTCTGCAAAAGAGCCAAAACTCAACAGCCACTATCCTTCAGACTAAACTGTAATTTCATAGAATCAAGAGAATGGCTTGGGTTGGAAATGACCTTAAAGTTCATCTAGTTCCAACCCCCTGCCATGAGCAGGGACACCTTCCACTGGAGATCAGGTTGCTCAAAGCCTCGTCCAACCCGGCCTTGAATGCTGCCATGGTTGGAACATCCACAACTTCTCAGGGCAACCACAGTTCACTGTCCCACCACCTTCACAGTAGAGAGCTTCCTAATATCTCATCTAAATGTCTCCTCTTTCAGTTTAAAGCCATTCTCCCTTGTCCTATCACTACATGCCCTTGAAAAAAGTCCCTCTCCAGGTTTCTTGTAGCCTCCTTCAGGCACTGGAAGGCTGCTCTAAGGTATCCCCAGAGCTTTGCTTCTCCAGGCTGAACAAGCCCAACTCCCTCAGCCAGTCTTCATAGGAGAGGTACTACAGCCCTCTAAGCATCTATATGGCCCTCCTCTCTCCAATGTCTTTATAAAAAAAGTCCAAAACCATGTTTCAATGATTACTTCATGTCTGATAATTTCATGTTTATCTAATGTTTAGAATGTAGACTTCTGACTGTAATTACCAATGTACATGCATTTCTTGCACAACTCTCATGTGTAACACAGGTATTAAAAGTCACATCAGAAGGAAGAGTGGTGAATTTACTACTAAATACATTTAAGATTCGTGATCTCAGCACCTATTTTCTCCTTAATAGTAGAGCAGTAGTCAGGCACGATGGAATAAGTAAATAGTTCTCATATAAAAAAAATCTTTGTCCTAGTAAAAACATACTGGTTCACTGTTGGCTGTCTTTACAGCATTTTTTGCTGCATTCCGATTGCTAAATTTTGATTACAGGAAAGATGATCTATTTTCTAAAAGTGTTATTTATAGCTAAAGAGGAAATTCTGGAATAACAGTTTCATTAACAAGCTAACTCAGCTTCAGAAAGTGTAAGAATGGCAAAACAGTTTGTAAGTGTCTCTGAATGGACTGCATACTCTTACAATCAGAGGGAAAGCATCAGATGTCTGCCTAGAAATCAGTCATTCTACTTCATTTCCATCTAGCAAGAAACTTCCCCAAATACTTGGAAATCCCTGTGGATTTTTCTCTTTTGTTTGTTTGTTTTTTAAGTGCTTTTATATTTGAAAGACCAATCAATGTGTAAGTGGATTCATTTTCAGTTTGATTTTTGGTAACTACAAATTCAGTCCCTAAGCTTGACTCTTTATTACATTTGTTCCAAAAGCCACAGAATCCATTTTCCTCAAAGGAGGAGAGAAACACCAAAGAATCAGTGTAAAGTTATTTTAAGAAGCAAGAAGCTCATTCTTTTATGAAGTTTCTACACTACAGCAAACCACCATAATCACATGACAGAACATACCAGGATTGGGCACACTAAATTCCTGTTAATTCGCACAGGAGAAAGTCATCAGAGAGAAAACACGTAAGAAGGAGCCAGGCAGGTAACCTCTACTATATTTATTTTGTTGGAAACAGTAGATGTGGATTCTGGTTTGGTCCTCATTCTCTAGATGATGTAAATTGACTAAAAACTGTTGTGAATTTTCTCTGTTGGTAGGTTGTTCACCATTTTAAAGCAAGTATCTCACTGCCCTCTCCAGAAAGCATACAGACACACACAGAGATATCCTAGTCTCCTTTTATCTCTGCTTTAGCCATTTCTTTGTAAGAAATTTATGCCAAGAACATGGTTGCAACAGTTTTGATGGCAAAAGATGTATCCACATTGTTGCCCAACTTAAAATATATCCAAAATATGAGTGCTGGAAGGGCAGCTGGACAAAATTCACGTAACTTACCTCTGTTGCTGACAAACGTTTATCACCATTATCACTACCAACACCTGAATCTGAGTCCTTTTTACTTGGATAGATGTCATCAATGCTAGAGGTGAACAAAAATAAATAAATTAAAATCAATATAAAGCTATCATAGCATTTACCATTAGAATTCTGTCCTGGTTTCATTTAAAACAAAGCAAAAATCTAACTAGTCTTAACAGGAAAGGGTGAAGTAGCCTAGTATGGTTGAAAACTACAAATCTCAAGTCTGGTGATAGCAAAATAGATCAGATGGAATGGCAGGTTAGTCTAAGGATTAATGAAAACCAGAAAACCCTGCCATAAAGCTTGCTTTCGACTATATATTAGGTAAAAATGCTTAGTTACTATTGAAGTAGCTCAAGAGTCCAACTGAAGTCATTTAGCCATGCGATAAGCAACTGAACTAGCTGAACTCAATCTGTAGTCAACTAATATACTGTAACCACTGATGCATTAAAAAATGAACTGATATCTCCCTGCAGCTTGAAGTAATTATTAACACAGAAACCTCCTTTTAGTGCTTTAAAATAGAGTTCAAAATTTAGGTTTTTAGAAAATTACACTAACAATGGCAGCTGCTCTCTCTTCTGGTTGCATTACCTAATATGACCTCTACTCATTTTAAAGTACACTAGTACATTTAATACTCTCATTAACTAACTTCATATTTTTAAATATGATTTATTATCCCCTCTATATTTTTAAATATGATTATCCCCTCATGTGCAATCCTGAAAGCTGTAGTCCTGTATTCAGATTGATGCAGCAATTTAAACAAAGAACTTTTATCAGCCTTCACATAAATAAGGTATCTGATTAATCCTAATTTTATATTATCTCTTATGAGTAACTGCCAAGGATTTTTTTGTAGAAACTGCCTATGGAAATCCTAACTATGTAATGTTTTTTCTTCAGATGTGTGAAGTTATTCTCTAAAATAAAAAATTTGGTAACTATTATGTGATGGAGCATTAGATGGTTAGTTACCAACTACATACCCCCTTACCCTAACTTGTATGATAGTATGGCTAAAAGTGGTTAGGGCTACTGCATGAACTTGTATGATTGTATGGCTAAAAGCTGGTTTCCAATTAGCTATGGAGATTCTCACAGAAAGGAGTTCCTTCAAATCTAGTTCCTGTCCTTAAACCACAATACAAGATGACATTTTCTAGATATTTGGTAAAGGACATTAAAGATTGTCTTTCATTTTGCTAGCAAATAATCACATTTTGCTTTAAAAGGGTCTCAACATTCATGCAGTTCTCTTTGCTGGATGGATAAGCCTCTGGATGAGTAAAAATGCTTGAAACAACTGTGTGTCATATAAATCACAAAACAACACAAGAAATCAAAACTTAATGTGTTAACAGATTTACAAGAAATTTCCAACACCTAATGTTACTAACACCTGAATTTCTTTGAATATATTCCAGTAGACGATGAGTAAGAAGTTAAATTTAAACTAAGGTTCACCTTAAGCAATTTCCTAATGTGCTGCTAACTTTAATCAGAACTGATTGTTAAAAATATTTTGTTATAAACTCTTACAGGTAATTTACAGAATAAACTATATTAAAGCAAAACAAATTTCTGTTCAAAAAAGTGCATTCTAAACAGCACCTAAACAAACAAAACTCTGGCAGCTAAATATATATATAAAAGTATTTATTTCACTTTGTTTTTAAGTGTTACATGAAAAAAAACTGAGATTTTCATACATACCTCTCTTCCACAGGTTGTGGCAAATGCTGCTGTTCTATGGCATTAAGATACAGTGAGTCTGCTGTTTTAATCTGACAGGCCTGTACAGTCAGATATTTGAATATATGCACCTTACCCTTTGTACAAATCTGTTAGACAAGAAACAAAACCAAACCAAGTTTATAACTAGAATGAAAGAAATAATTTATTCCAAATGTCACTTAGTGTAAAAGTCCCTGAAAACCAACTCGTATTGTCACAATAGATATCATGTAAAGGAAACTGGTTTAGTGTGTGGTGTCCCTGCTCATGGCAAGGGGCTTGGAACTAGATGATCTTAAGGTCCTTTCCAACCCTAACTATTCTATGATTCTATGATATTTTTCTTGTTTAAATTACTAAGAACTACTTCAATTACCCAATCAATTATTAGTGCATACTAATATAAATGCCCTCACAGAGTAAGACAGAAACCAAGAAACTAATATATTTACTTAAAAAAAATCCAAGTGAGCTCTATACTCAAAAAGAATTATTATAAGATGTATCATATGGCCTATTACTAACTGTAAATTGAATAATTATTTTCCAAAATGGATCAATAGTGACATTTATCATGTCCTTTCTACTTAGTGACATTGTTTTCACTAGCATCCAAGCATTTTCATGATGCATTTCACCTCCATTTTTAAATTATTTTTCTGTAGCTGCACCCAATATTAAGGCACAAACTAGATTATAGATATTACTTACTTGTGCTGGTGGAGACTGCAAAGGATTATTTTCAAGCAGTAACACTTGTAACTGCACCATCTTTCTAAAGCATATTGGAATCACGAGCACTTTATTGCAGGAAAAGTCAAACTTTACTAAGGGAAGCTGTACAAGTTCTGAAAGTAACAAAAAAAAAAAAAAGGAAAAAGGAGAGAAGGTGTAATATCTGTATTTATTATCCTATTTTTGCCATGAAATAATAAAATGTTTCTGAAGAAGCCTTCTTTTGCATTCCCAAAAAATACAAACACAGGCAGACATCAACATTTACTTTATACTAGGAAGTGAAAGAATGTTACTGTTATACAAATGATGATAAATTTTAAAATAAATACTTTCAAATACATTTTTTTCCTGAAACTCAGCTGACAGATTTTACCCTGTGTTCACAGGTAAGTACTTGTACAACTTAAAAGATGCCTAGAATCATAAAGATAACTCATTTAAAAACCCTCACACACTTATTTGGTGAGTACCACTGAATGTTATATTCTGCAAAATCAAATGGAATAAATTTGATTGCAAAGTAATTACTTTTTAATTGTATTTACTAACATGATTAAAAAATACTTCCAATATGCTAATAAAAAGAGCTACCATAAAGATATTAGGAATTTTCATTTGTCTTCTTACCTTGGGGTAAAACTTCGAGGTAATTTCTTCTGACATTTAGTTCTTTTAAAGATTTCAGCTGGCCTATCTGTTGTGGCAAAGCTGTGATTTCATTACAGCTGACATCCTACATCAAAACAGCAATTATAGAAATAATGAGCTTTTGGCTCCTAAAGTGTTAAATAATACAGATGTGAAATTGTAGCTAATCTGCTATTACCATTTTAGCATTTTATTAACCTGAAAACATGCAACTATCTATGTTGTGTCTTCACAATACAAAACTAGGTACATGAGAAAATGGTTACAAATTACTTAAAACCCAGAGTGAATTCTTATTTGGAGAATAAGTTACTTTTGAAAGTTAATTTAACTACTATAAAAAAAAAAAAATAATGTAAAAAGCATTAACTCTCAATCTTCAAGCCTAAAATATAGTTAACAGAATAATAATAGTAGAATCTCACTGCTGCCAAAGCTTCCCTCCTTTGTCTAAACAGAGGCAGGAAATTATTTTAGCTTTTAGACAAGGAAATTAAAAATCCCAGTTAATGAGTATATCTTTTGCCCAAGTTGCTATAAAGCATGGTTAATGGCAGTGTTTCCAGATCATGTATTTTTAGAGTTTTACTGTCCCATTTTTAATTTACAGACTTTAAGCAGCTTCATAATTAGATACTCAAGTTTTAGAGCACGTAAGTTAAAGTCACCTTGTGGCAGAGAAACTCTAGACCAAGTGCACTTATGCACACACATCGGAACAAGTCAGAGGAAGAGAATTCTAAAGCAAGTGGAAAAGGCCTGGCAGTGTGTAGCCTCAAAGCCAAAGTCAACTTACAGCCTTTCAAAACATCCTCAGTATGACTGATCTGTTAAGACAGCATGTCAGTATTCACAAGATCTCTAGAGACAGTAGTATCCTTTACCCTACTAAACACTGAAGTCCAACTTCTTTTTTTATTAGTTTGAATAGCCATGAAAAACAAAGACCTGTAGCATTATTTCTAGTTGTACTTCTGCTCTTGACCATTATTAGACTTCAGGAGTGTTTATGTGACAGAGACAGTGTTTATCTTTCCAATTACTTTGGCAGGAATGGGAGCAATACTATCAAGTCAAATGTCTAATGGTTCTCAAGATAACAATTTCTTAAAGGAACTATGCAGCTAGGAGTTTGGAACTTCACTTCATAGACATTGGCAGCCAAATGAAGTGCAAACATCTATTCAAGTTCTAAAGGACTAGTGTTTTGCTGAAGGTCAGACTTGGATTAATTCTACTTTGCTCTCACCAGTTTTGCCATCTCCTGCCATGACACCATAATTTCTCAAGATCAGAGAAATGTAAGGAATATTTCAGTTCAATATTTCGTGGAAAATGTTGTAAAACCAAATTAAAATCATCAACATGTTTCTTTTGTTTATGGTGAAGTTCAGATGGTCTTAACCAATGAAAGTCAGCATAGTATTAAAATAACAAATACGGTACTCTGGCTACATATTAACACACACAGAGGAATATCCAAACCATGTTGAGGTAAATTTCCTCCTTACATCCATTTTTAAATTTGGGGCTCCTGACTGAGCTGTTATCCCTGAAAAGTACATGGATTCTGTCAGAGCTTGTCACATACAAGCTATACTGAACAGTAAAAAGAAGCTACATGGTGCTTGAGCACATGGATCCCTTTAGGCAACAGAAGGCAGAAGGTCCCACTTGGTCAGGGTGCTGGCCCAGATTAGATAAGTAAGGTGAAGGACATAAATCCCAGCTGAGAGATTTAAAGGATTCCAACATGAGACAGGAGTATTCCAGAGATGGAGAAGGTTGCTACCTGAAAAAGGCAGAAGTGCAATACTGCCTGACAGGATGGAGAACAGAATTTTACTGTACATCTGATAATTTGGGGTACAATTACTGAGCCACCTCTGCCCAATTACTTTGATGGAAACTAAGTTTCATATTACCTTCACACCTGATTTGCACTCATCCTCCTAGCTGACAGTAGTATGACTGAATTATGTAGCTGCAAATAAAAGTAAGTTTCCCAACCAAATTTTGCAAATAATTGTAATACATCTGCAGAGAGAATAATGTATATATTTTGATGCTTGTAAGATAGCTGACAGATCTATATAACCCAGAACCCTAACATCTAAAAGAATATGTTTCAAAAAGTTAAACAAAAAATTAAATCCATTTGCTACGTACAGACTTTACTGCATGCAGCTTGTGAAACACTTTGGGAACCTGAGAGTGCTTGGCAAAGTCCTGGTGATACAAGAATTGCCTGCAGCCAGGTGGCATCTGTTACCTCTCAGGATCAATCCCCTGTGTATGTACCAAAACAGCAGCATCCCCTGCCAGAAGGCAGGGTGACAGTCCTACTTTGAGGCCACATGCTATTCAGGCTGGCATCCCTCTCACACAGCTGAATGTTTTGTGGAACAACTGCAAGATGACTTAATGGGATTTTTTTTGTTCGTTTGGTTTTTTTCTGTTGTTGTTGTTGTGGTTTTGGTTTCTTTTTTTTAATTTTTACTCATTTTAGAACAATGATCACCTTATTATCTAAACTGCATTGTATCATATATGCCAATACAGATCCTGCCCCTCAATCCTACCATTATTTGCTTCTTCCAATACATCACAGCTTAGTCATTTCCAGCTAAATAATGCAACTTATTTCACTGGAAATGTAGCAAACATTCACAGTGGCATCCCACTCATCTGAACAGAACCATTCCCAATTTAACAAAACCTTGTTACTCACTTCCCTCCCACCCCCTTCTAATCACAAAGAACTAGCATCAGATCTCCTTCAGTTTTCATAAATCTTTCAGGCTGCCAAACAGAAATGTTGCTAAAGCTTCTCATTTGAAACATTTTTAGAGCAGGAACTGTCGTTTTTATCATGACAAAGAGTAACACTGAAATTATACTGTAACTGGAAAGCAATATGAAAATCCAGCATTCCAGAAGTTAAACATGTGATTTGTTTAAAAAAACCCAAAAAAAAATCCTATGTCATTTGAACATAATCTACATTGATTTTCAAGCTTTTAGTTTTTAACTTTTCAAAATTCTAAAATAAGGATAAGGGCTACTATTAAACTGTGTACAAACTTACTAACAAATGAAACATTTTCAGCAACTACAGTGAAGTTTACCTTACTGAGAGGATTCAAACTTGAAATTGGAGGGGAAATTAGATATGAAAGCACTTCAGCAGCTCTTTACCAAAAGTATTATTACAGACCTCAGTCAATACAAATTAAAGGGGTTATTTAATTCAGGCCAATTCAGACAGAATTCAGGCAAAGCCTTGCAATTGTTTTGCATGAGCCCCCCCCCCCAAGCTAGGCAGCATTTAAATTAGAAGCAATCAAGCACTAAAAGGTTCCAATTGTTGTTTATTATCTATTCAGTCATCCTATCCCCTAAATTAGGATGTGTTTAATACTGCTGACTTTAATTATACATAGATTTGGAACCATAATATTTTATTGCATCTATCTTAAGCACAACAGAAACTGTGCTGTAGCCTAATACTTTTTTTGAAGGTTAAGTAAATGAAAACCATTTCAATAATCTAACTAAACCCATTGCACACACAGAACAATTAGAATATTTGAGAAGATAAATTAATAGTGCTTACTAAACAAAACAAACTTGGTAGTCTTTAGCTCAGGTACAAACCAGAAAGGAAAAAGTAACTACCTCAACAGCCAGATCAGTTGTAACAAATAACAGAGGCCTGATACCACAGCAGGCTCTGTACTAAAAGAATACTAGAAGGAAAACAGCCCCACAGTTGCTACTTCATATATGAAGAACCAGTAGCAGGACTGTGGCCTAAAGGAAGGTCAGCTCAATTTCTGGAACATAATTTAGTAGAGATACTACTGTTACCTAAATAACGACATGATAATCAGGCACTTTCAGATACCAGAAAGATGGGCAAGATAAATGCTGTCAATGGAGACATCAGCAGTTGGTAGAAAGTTCAGATGTAATTGTTTTACTATGCATAAATTAGCAGTGTCACAATGTAGTTTATTTGTCAATTTGTATCTTAAGAGGTCCAGGTGAACAGAAATAACCAGGAGACGTAGCACACATGCCATAGAGAATTCAGTCTCAGCCTTCAATATACAAAAGATGAAGATAAAGGTATAGAAAGGGAAGCATTCTCTTACATACATATTCCACATACAAATTTCACAAAAACATGTGCAGTTAAATTAATTCTAAGCTAAGGCACCAAGCATTTTTTGCCTTTTCAGATTCTCATTTACTACACAGTATTTTATAGATTACCTACTTCTTGCAGAAACAGTAGTCATGTGGATAGCTTTAAATATAAGACAAACATAATAATTTTGTAGATCTGTTTAGATAGGTAACCCAGGAAAGGAAGGTTACACAATAGAAGTAGTGTAATAAAGTGAAAATAGACTGGTAAGACCAGTATCAGTAGTGGAATGCAATGTGGTAAGCAGATATTAATAATAGAGTGAAAGGAAGCAGAAGACGGTACTACAGAGGCTGATACAGCTTTACAGAGCTTGATGCCAGAACTATTAACTTGATATAGCAAAACACGGAGCCAATGGTAAAAGTAACGAACTTAGAAGGTGAGTTTTGAATGAACCAAGGGCAGTCATATTGTTCAGAAGGGTCTTGAGGAACATAAAGGAAACTATTACTGTGTTACTACTCAACACACTTGAGAAATTCAAAACTTAATTTTTTAACCTTTAAAATGCAATATAGTATTAGGCATTTGTTCAAATCTGTTTGTAAAGTGAATTTTACTGTTTCTAGTTAAATACAAATGAAGTCAAATAAAAAGTAAAAAGAAATTTAAAAAAAAAAAAAAAAAAAAAAAAAGATCAGTAACATACCAGTTCCATTAACTGTTTTAGCTGACCTATCTCTTCTGGAAGGGAACCTAGCTTATTGTTACTTGCAATTAAGACTTTTAGAGGAAGACCACACAGGCAAGCTGGCAAAGAAGAAAGTTGATTTCGACTGCAACAAAACAAAACAGAACATTAAAACCACCAGGATGTTCTAGTATATACTCACGTAAAACGTGAAAGTTATAAAATTCCTTCATTTTCATGAGTCATGCAGTTAAAATTTAAATTTTCAAACGGCAATCATTTCAAAAACACTTGCACATCAAAAATAACTGCATTACTGACTAAACAATATTGTGGAATTTACCACTCCGGTAAAAAATACACTATATAAGTTTAAGCAGATGTCTTTTTTCCAACTGAAAAACAAATTAATAAATTACAAATAAAATGGTTCTTTTCTCAACTCCTTTAAAGCATGCTTGAAGTTTAAGTGACATGCCATTTTACTCTTAACACTATATTGGGGGGGAGGGGGGGAAGAGAGAGCGAAAAGATTATTTTCATGAAGAGGAGTTGCAAGAAAAGGCAAAATTTGGAAAAAAACTTTCAAGGTTTTATTTAGGTTCTCATTCTAGTAACAATTACTCAGGAAGCTAGAACTTAAAAGATGACAAATGCAATGACCTTTTATGATCTCCAGATGATTAAAATTATTAATTTCTTCTGATTTATGAACCAATTCTGGGAAGAAACTTTAAGCTCAACAGAAAAACATGTTAATTGCTGCCTTTCCTAGAATATTAGAAGGTTTTCTTAAAATACTTTTTTTTTTTTTAAATGGGAATTACCCTTTAGGAAAGCAATGAACAGTAACTTAGAGTGACACCCTACGAAGAACCATTTTAGCTTCTGAATGACTGCTAAAGCTTCAGAGATCAAATTTACATGACTGAACTCTGAAAACAGAGAGCAAAAATTGTCCTGTGTAATTTCAGGAAGAATTGCAACATTGAATTGAAACAAAAGGAAACAAAGAAACAGAAATAAGTAAATAAATAAATAAATAATCTAAGTTCCACAAGTGTCAAACCAATTCTTCAGCTGCCAATCCAGCAGTCTGCTACAAAGCTGCATATAAAGACATATATTCATGCTCCACCTAACAGTCTCAAAACGTTTAACAAAACAAACTACCATCAGATCACTGCTACACAGGCCGGGAGTGTACCAAGTACCAAGACAAGTACCAAATAACAAACTAAAGCTTATTAAAAATGAGAAATCCAACTACTACTCAGCAGTAGTTGAGGGGAAGAAAAAAAAAGAATCAATGCTTATTGTGGAGCCAGGATTCTCCATTCTAGTGTCTTTACAGATGACCAAGATACAATTTATTTTAAAATATGCCTAGAATCTAAAAAAAGTTACACTGTGCAGCAGATCAGACAAAAAAAAAGTTAAAACTTTTTTTAAGTTCTACAGAACTCAGAAGCAATCTACTAGGAGATAAGGAACAGCACATAACCAGGGCAAGTGAGTAATAGATCATCATTTGTTTAAAAAGAATCTCTAAATAAGAACATCATCACCAAGGCCCAAAGATTATGTGTATCTCCTGGCACCTCTTTCTAATGCTGGTAACAGGCAGAAAAATATGCATTTTAAATCTGTAATATTTTTCCTGCCAAGAAGCAACATGGTTAGAAAGTCAGGGTTACATTTCCTTCTTCTACAGACTGTTTACTGTGTTCAAGTAACATGGGTGAAGGGAATATCCAAGGGAAGAGGATATTTTAAACTGAGGGCAATGACCTTACTTAGTAAAACGTGAAAAAATCCTTTTATTTTGTTTGATTTACTGTGATACCTGATATTAACTCTGTAACTATTCTGGGTTTGTGATGATTCACAAAATTCCATCACTACATTGAGCTCTAATTCACTGGTTCACCACACTGAGTTCTAATCGAGTTCATTCTAACTCAGAAATTTACTAAGATGTTCTATATAAACGTAATAATTTAATCCAGTCTTAGTTTCTTTATGTATATCTAAAACACTATTTCAAACTTTCACGTCCTGTTCCTTATAGGAATAGTGGCACATACTCAGGACACCATTCTGTTTCAATTTTTAGAGCCAAAATTAGTGTTGCACAGTGGCCAAGACAGCAGTATACCAACAATACAGGAAGGCTTGAGAAACATCCTCAGTGTTTACAAAACTGAGGATCGAGCCTTCATAGCTTGAATTTAAAAGCCCAAGAGCCACTTTGCCCCCTGCTCAAACCTCATTCTCGAAGACCAGATTATTATAGCTTCATTGTCACAGTTTCTACATACTCAACTGCAAAGAAGCTGCTGATGTAACTGGCATTGTGAATTTGCTAGAAAAATAAGGGAAAGAAAGGGATTAATATTACTTGGTCTTTCTTAAATGATTAGGTTTACATTTTGGCATTTACAATGCCTTCATATAGAGCTGTATCCACAGCCAATGAGTTTTTGCATTACCCTTCCAATAAAATGAAAAATGTAGTCAGTTTTCCAAAAACACAAAGTGCAGACAAAAAAAGCATTATGTATTTGCAAACAAACAAAAAATGTAGCAAAGTTAAACTTACCTCAAGTTTAAGTAAGTTAGCATTTGCAAGTTTACTATGGCATCTGGTATAATTTTAATACAATTGTGGTATAGATTTAGTGTTTCCAGTGACACAAAATGGCACAACTCTGTAGGAACTTCCGTTAATCTATTCTTGGATAAATCTGAGAAGGGAAAAAAAAGAAGGCACATTTTTTGAATCATCTGGAAGATACAGTTTGAAAAGCTATGCTTCTTTATTGAAAGAAATAAATAAATGTAATCCTACAGTGAGAAAGCAAATTAAGTCAGTTTTTATTATTCAAAATAATAACTACTGCTAACCTTTACAATCTTGAAATTAAACAGAGTGTAAAAGAGCAAACATTCAATTAAAATTCATTCAGTCTAATAAAAAGTCATTATTTGCAAGACTCAATATGCCAGTGAAATACCTGCAGTCAGAACCAAGTATAGATTCCAAAGCTTGTACAGTGTACCCAAAGATCTAGCTGATATAGAGCTAGACATCTGCAAATAACAAGTGGTTAGAGAAAGCAAACAACAAGGATTATATCTTTAATTTCTTTAAAAAAATAAATAAAGTTCTTCAAACTGACCTGTATTTCCTAGATTTCAATCAACTATAAGAGAATGTTACCTATAAAAATGGTGAAGACCTTCAGGAATAGGTCTGTTATAAGTACATACAAGACCATGATGGATTCCAGTCCTCCAAGCGAATGCTTGTATCCACAGAATGAAAGGTTTTGACCAGTTATTCATTCTTTCTCATTTTAAGCACACAGACATCAGGAAAATCAGTAGGAAGAAATATTACTGAGCTTTGCTCCCTAGCTACCACAGTATGAAAAATGTGGTATCATAATACTTATGTGAGCTCAAGTCGCAAAGGTAACAATGCACGTCAGCATTCAAATGAATTAACCGAGTACAAAGAAATGTTGAAACGGTGTTGCAGAACAAATGTCTCTTACCACAAACCACACAAATGCCACCTACCCATACCCCCTGACCTGAAAAACGGTCACCTGTTCTAAGTGGAAGGAACAGGAATGAACTTAGGCAAAACGTGATATATCTGAAGGACGGATACAAGGAAAAAAATGGAACTTAATCTTGTCTCCTCACTTCTTCACTGCTGCTCTTTTAAGCCTCTTCCCTGATTCTTCAAAGCCTATTTCGAAGCTTACTTTCTTAAATTACATAAAGGTAGAAGCAGCCAAAATATAGCAGATATATCACCAAAGCACCAATGATCTGCCTCCTCTCATTAGGGACATAAAGCAGTTTTTTATGAACAAACAGGCAGAAGCCTGAAGATCTTTTTAACTTCTTTCACAATTCCAGACTTACTGGTTTGCTGTGCAGAGGCACAGCTTGAAAGCACTACTATCATCAACAGGAAGGTTTTATCATTTTTTTGTTCCTGTCTCCTGCAATGCAACCTGAAATTCAGTGCACTCTATTCCCCTTGTCAGCTTCCACTTTGCTTCACCATATTGCTTTCAACAAGAAGTTGGTTTCATTATTCCATCCTCTGCCAAGACAACAGCAATGGCCTATGAGTGCAGTAACTGAGAACAGCCCTGCTGACCCAAACAGCTGGTTAAATTGAGCACCTCAATCAAAATTATTCAATTCTGAGTTACTAGTCCACAGCAATGCTTGCACTGCTGTCCTTTATCTTACCAGGCTTTGATAGCAGTTAGATGCAGCATTAATTCAGCTTCTCCTTGATAGTTTCTGCTATCAGACTAAAGCATTCCCTATTTGAGTTAATGTTACTACTGTTTCAAGGAGGGGAAAGCTTTTCAATGTTCTTCTGTTTTAGCGCTTTAATCCTCTACTGTTTTCTGTTTATTATGAGAGCACTTGTTTACCAGCATGACATTCCAAAACAACTACCACTGGTTCCCTCTCCTGCTGCCTTCCAAGCTGCGTTTATTATCAGATACTAACAGAGGACTGTCATACTATAACCTTTTGAACCATGGAGGGGATCTTCATATTTTACAACTCACTTGCAAAGAAAACCTTCCCTTTTTTTAAACCACGCTTTTCTGCAGTGACACTGCCACATTCATATTGCTCTCGCTTCCTCCTTTAAAGAGGAAGGAGCAGCAAGATCCAGAAGAGTGAACTGAACTTTATGCCTAGGCTGAAGACAACCTGCATGGTGCTGGATGATACAGGGGGAGTGACACCTCATCCTCCTGATCCTTCTCAAGTGATACACAGATCTAAAACTGGGAATACAAAAATGTTACTTCTTCTCAAGCTATTAAAACTGCAGCCTGCCACCTTAGAATCATACAATGGTTTGGGTTGGGAGGGACATTTCAAAGGTCATCTAGCCCACCCACCCTGCATTGAGCGGGGACATCTTCCAACTAGATCAGGTTTCCCAGAACCACATCCAGCCTGGCCTTGAATGTCTCCAGGGATGGGCACATCTACCACCTCTCTGGGCAACCTTAACTCCATCTTCATGCCTGTTCTCATTTATCTTCTCACTGAATAAAAGGAATTGTTGGCACATTTGACTTACCCTTGAAAAATGCTAGTACCTTAAAGAAGTGGAACAACAACTAGATTGACCCTGCTCCTATAATAGACATTAATGTCACAGTAAAATGCTTCTTTCTTTTCTTTTTTTTTTTTTTATTATCCTTTATTCTCATAATCTGATGAAAGACAAAACAAAAACCCACAGATCTTAACAGACAAATTCCTTCCCGTCCTCTTCAGGACCATGTGTTACAGGACATACTACACACACAACAAAGGAAGTCAATTATTTGTTATTGTCTAGTTTAAGATCATTTCAACACTGGCATCTATTGTTTTTTCCTAATTAATAATGATTTAAAAAACCCACCATCTATTCACAGCATAAGGCAGAGGAATAAAAAAATATACTTAGCAGAAAAAGAAGTTAGCTACTATAGTTTACTTAAAGAGGTATCATTAATAGCAAATCTGAATGCCTTTGAGAAACAGAGTACTGGAATACATATAGAATGCTCATCACAGTTTTTAACTAGCTACAGTAATTTATTTTTTTTCCTCAAAAACAGACTTTCCTGATCAAATGGGAACAAAAGAAGAAAAGAGATTGGGTTTATTCAATCCTAGAATGAATGGGAGCCTCTGAACATGACACAGCTGTGAAGAAAGCATAGCAGCTTTCAATGTCTCTGGAAGTTCCATACAGAAAAGCATGTCTTTAGAAATGAAAAGTCTGCATAACAATTTTATAATGTGTCTTAAAAGCATATACAAACATGTACAGAAACGCCTCAAAAGTATCTTTATAAGGTATTTTTGCTTCAACTTACTGCATCTTACAATTAGTCTGCATATCTTTCTAGTTTACTCCACTTTTTAAGTTCTAGAATAAAATACAAGGGTTAAGCATTAATGAAACTGCAGAACCTTTTGAACAGACTGAGAAAAACAGTAGGCATGTATCTTGTTTCTGTCACAATTCCTAAATTTTCGGGGGGTGGGGGGGGGGGAATTGCAAAGGCTTTCTTGGGCTCATTATTTAGGGAAAAAAAATACAGAGACTAAAATTTTAAACCACTTCTGAAAATATTTTTAAAATCTCTACATTTGTTGACAAACCTTCACTTACTGCAATTTTTTTCACTCTACACTTCCCAAATCACTAAGCTACACATCCCCTTGCTTCATTAATTTGAAGAATAATGCTTCAGGGTTATTCATAATAATGAACTTACTGTTACAGAAATGGAAATGAACAGAAGGATGCAGTTTGCCAGTGTTTTAAAGAATTTTTATTAATTTGCTTATACTACCTAACACAAATAAGATTTAATGAATTAATCAATCTATGACAGCAGAAATATATTTCATGTTTGTCAAGACAGCGTAGGTGATTTTCACCTAAGGTGACTATTTCCTGTAATTTCCATTATGAAATAGGTAATGCAAAAATTAACAGAGCCCATGCACTGGAGTGAGCCTTTTGTTTTAAATGAAATATCATAGAATCACACAATCGTAGAATAGTTAGGGTTGGAAAGGACCTTAAGATCATCTAGTTCCAACCCACCTGCCATGTCACCCAAGGCTCTGTCTAACCTGGCCTTGAACACTGCCAGGGTTGGAGCATTCACAACTTCCTTGGGCAACCTATTCCAGTGCCTCACCACCCTCACTGTGAAGAACTTCTTCCTTATATCTAACCTAAAGTTCCCCTGTTTAAGTTTAAAGCCATTACCCCTTGTCCTACCACTACAGTCCCTAATGAAGAGTCCCTCCCCAGCATTCTTACAGGCCCCCTTCAGACACTGGAAGGCTGCTATGAGGTCTCCACGCAGCCTTCTCAAGGCTGAACAGCCCCATCTTTCTCAGCCTGTCTTCATACAGGAGGTGCTCCAGCCCCCTGATCATCCTCGTGGCCCTCCTTTGGACTTGCTCCAACAGCTCCATGTCCTTTTTATGTTGAGAACACCAGAATTATACACAATACTCCAAGTGAGGTCTCACGAGAGCAGAGTAGAGGGGCAGGATCACCTCCTTAAATATACTATTCATTCATTATGCGTGACATCAAGGCATTGTCAAACTACATCTGGCTTTGCTTCATCTTTTTCTGCCAAGAACAAGTTTGTTACAACTCCAAAATAAAGTAACAGAACACAAAAAAAAAATAAGCAAACCCAGCTTAGAAAAATATTAGATAGAATCTTGATCTTTAAAAGCGTCAGCACAATTCTGGTGTAATGACACGGCTTTTGTATGAGAAATGTTACTATGTTGGAAGCTAGACAGGAACTACATGAAACAAGCACTTCCTTAGCTGGGAGGGAACAAGAAAAAGCAAAAAGTTCAGACTGGTAAATAAGCATTTAACAGAAGACTCCAAGCCTTGTTTAAGTGACTGACACACTACATGGTCAGTGTCCATGGTGCCATCACACCAGTAAATAACTGACCCCATCCTCAGGGCAAAAGCTTTCAATTCCTATAGCTCTGAATGCGTCTACTAGTGCTGATAGGACTTTTCTGACCTCATGCTTTACAGGCAGATTACCAACTGCCACTATACATAGATGTGTAAGTATAAACCACTGCTACTGCAGAACCCAAAATAGCATTGTCAAAATAACCAGAATACTACTAGAAGTCATACAGTTACGCTTCTTTCAGAAGTTACCAAGGTGCTGCAATTTTTCTTCCCTACAGTTATTAACACATTAAATATCAGTTATTAATATATTAAATAAAAATCTCAGACTTTCATGGAAGAGCTAAACAATTTAAGCCTTTAAGTCAGAATATTAATTAAATAAGTATGCATATGCACTGTTACATCACAAATTTCAGCCAAGAATTCTAATTAAAGCAGTTTATTAAAAAGCAGTGATTTATAATTTTTAAGTTAGAGAAAAATTCACTATACATCTCTACTTCTAAAGCACAAACCTAGACATACAAAAGTTGAAATTATGCAAGTAAGAACTTATCCACCATTGAGCAGGAATATGTGTGTGTGCGTATATATATATATATATATATATACACACACACACACGTAAGGCAAATATCTATATTTGATTTGGAGTTCTGAAAGCAAGAAATTGCATGGTAAAAAAGCCACCCAAACAACCTTAACTCCAGCCCACCAAGTTCCTATTTTTGTCATCTTCAGCACTTACTGAATAAAAGACAGGAATTATTTTGAAGAAGCTATTTGCATTTGTACTAACATACATTCAAGGTATTCAAATGAGATGTCTGAATTGTATTTGACAAAGGATTGAAGCAATTCACTGTAAGAGCCTAAAAAATTGTAAGTTCAGCCCTAATTTCATGGGAGAATGCGAGGAAATTCATAAAGACGTCTATATATGAATGATATAACTGTATGGAGCTTTGCTTTTATACTCCAAGTTGCCCATATTTTTATTAAGCTTTTAGGAAGCCTGTATTTCTATATTAGCTACGTATATCTTCATTGAAGCCACAGATTGA